AGGGAATAGCTTGAGCAGACAGGGAGACAGAGAATCCCAGGCAGGCTCCACACAGGCAGCGCACAGCCTGACACAGGGCTTGAACTCCCAAACTGTGAGATCATGCATAACCTAAGCTGAAACCAAGAGTCGGACGCTTAACCAACTGAGCCACCCAGGCGCCTCTAGCTTTTTTTGTTTTTTGTTTTTGTTTTTTCTCTTTTTAAGTGAGAGTGATTTGAACAGTTGTGATGTGCGTATTTACTCATGCTTCCCAGCTCTGGTACATGCCAAGCCCTGTTCTAGGCACTAGGGACACAGCGGTGAGCAAGGCAAAAGTCTCTTCCTTCGTGGTGATTTCGTTCCAGTAAAGGAGACAATATCGAAAAGGAGGAAAATCTACAGGATGTTAGAAGCTGAGAAGTGTTACGGAGAAAAGTAATGCAAGGAGGGAGGCGCAGGGAGTTTGGCGGGGGAGGGTTTGGAATTTTAAACAGGGTAGCCAGGACAGGCCTCATTAAGGAGGTGACATTTGAACTTTCAAATAGCATGTCTCTTGCAGTCTGGAACAGTTCTTCAGTCTTCCCTTGACCTTCATGACCTTGATGCTTTTGAAGATGACAAGCCAGGAATTTTGTTGCATGCCTCTCAGTTTGGTTTTGTCTGATGTTTCCTCATGGTTGGATTCCGGTTCTGCACTCAGGGAGGAAATATCACAGAAGTGACCCGGACTCCTTACTTCATGCTATCATTCGGCTGGTAATTTTAATACTGATAATGGTTGCTTTGTTCCTTTTCCCTTTGGAATGAACTCACATGCATTTCGTGGAGAGATACTTTGAATCTATGTAAATATCCTGTTCCTCATCAAAGTGTAACCGACCCGACCCACCGACTGCTAGTGTCAATGCTAGTTTTAATTTAGCATGTATATATTTTCTAATTCCATCATTGCTGACAATTATTAGTATTATCAGTTGACATTCTCCTGTAAAAATATTTCCTTTCTCTATTTATTTACTCTTTCACCTATTCATTTATATAGGCATTCATTCATGGTTTCTTGAGCCTTTATCAAGTGCTTTTTCTGTGGTTCAGATTACTATGTTTGTTTACTTTGGGTCCATTAATGTAGAGAACTACATTTATAGCTTTTCTGATACAGACTCAATTTTTGAATTCCTGGGATAAATTCTATTTGATCAAGGGGCGCCTGGGTGGCTCAGTCGGTTAAGCGGCCGACTTCGGCTCAGGTCACGATCTCGCGGTCTGTGAGTTCGAGCCCCGCGTCGGGCTCTGGGCTGATGGCTCAGAGCCTGGAGCCTGCTTCGGTTTCTGTGTCTCCCTCTCTGCCCCTCCCCCATTCATGCTCTGTCTCTCTCTGTCTCAAAAATAAATTAAAAACGTTAAAAAAAATTTTTTTTTAAATTCTATTTGATCAAAACAGGTTTGCTAAATGTACTAATGAATTCATTTAGCTAAGATTTTGTTAAGGATTTTGACATCTACAGATATAAGTGAAATGGGCTTGAAGTGTTCATGTACTGTCTCATCTGTTTCTGGGGGATGCCTGGGTAGCTCAGTCAGTTAGGCATCTGACTCTTGATTTCGGCTCAGGCCATGATCCCAACGGTTTGTGGGTTCGAGCCCCATGACGAGCTCAGAGCCTGAAGCCTGCTTGGGATTCTCTCTCTCTCTCTCTCTCTCTCTCTGCCCCTTCCCTGCTCATTTTTCTCTCTCAAAATAAATAAACTTAAAAAAACAAAAAACAAAAAAACCCATTTGGGCCCTTTTTTGGGTGGGGAGAGGAAAGCTTTTGACTACTGTTTTTTTTTTGTTTTTTTTTTTAATTTTTTTTTTCAACGTTTTTTATTTATTTTTGGGACACAGAGAGACAAAGCATGAATGGGGGAGGGGCAGAGAGAGAGGGAGACACAGAATCGGAAACAGGCTCCAGGCTCCGAGCCATCAGCCCAGAGCCTGACGCGGGGCTCGAACTCACGGACCGTGAGATCGGGACCTGGCTGAAGTCGGACGCTTAACCGACTGCGCCACCCAGGCGCCCCTGACTACTGTTTTAATCCACTAATTTTTGCTCTACTAAATTGATCTGTTCATGGAATGGTTTTGGCATGTTATATTTTTCTAGGAATGTATTCATTTCATCTAGGTTTTCGGGTATATGTTCATCATTTTTAAAAGTTCTGTTACAACTATATTAAGTTCCCATCTTTAATTTTGTATTTGGTTTGTTTGCATTTTCTATCTTAATTCATCAGTCTTGCCAGAGGGTGTGTCTTTCCTCTGAATTTTTGTCTCAAAGATTCTGCCTTTAATTTTATGAATCTTGTTTTTCCCTATCTCCTCCATTTCTGCTCTTTATCATTTCCTTGCTTCTCATTCAGGTTTGTTCTGGTGGTCTTTTTCTAACTTTGGGTATAATTTACATATGAGGAAATGCTCAGATTTTAATTATACAGCTTGATTTTTTACCAAAGTATACACCTATGTGACCCATACCCCAGTCAAGATCTAGAACCTTTTTATTATTCCAGAAAGCTACCTTGCAACCCTTTCTAGTGGATACCCTCCCCACCTCCACCCTGCTCTATCACCAAAATGTGTTTTTTAAAGGATTTTTTTAATGTTTATTTTTTAATTTTTGTTAATGTTTATTTATTTTTGAGAGACAGAGACACAGACAGAGTGCGAGCAGGGGAGGGCAGAGAGAGACAGGAAGACACAGAATCCAAAGCAGGCTCCAGGCTCTGAGTTGTCAGCAGAGCCCGATGTGGGGCTCGAACCCACAGACCGTGAGATCATGACTTGAGCTGAGGTCGGATGCTCACCTGAGCCTCCCAGGTGCCCCATAATGTTTATTTTTTTATTTTTGAGAGAGAGGGAGAGAGAGCGCGTGCACGTAAGCAGGGGAGAGGGCAGGACGGAGGATCTGAAGTGGGCTCCTCACTGACAGCAGTGAGCCCGGTGCGGGGCTCGAACTCATGAACCGTGACATCGTGACCTGAGCCGAAGTCGGACACTTAACCGAGCCCCCCAGGCACCCCTTAAAGATTAAAAAAAATTTTTTTTTTAATGTTTGTTTATTTTTGGGAGAGACAGAGACAGAATGCGGGTGGGTTAGGAGCAGAGAGAGGGAGACACAGAATCCGAAGCAGGCTCCAGGCTCTGAGCTGTCAGCACAGAGCCCAATGCGGGGCTCAAACTCACGAGCTGTGAGATCATGACCTGAGCTAAAGTCAGATGCTCAACCCACCGAGCCACCCAGGCGCCCCTAAAGATTTTAAAGCAATCTCTACACCCAACATGGGGTTCGAACTTACAACCTTCAGATCAGAGTTGCATGCTCTACCGACTGAGCCCGCCAGGCACCCCACCAATATGTGTTTTGAATGAGAACTTCACATGAACAGAATCGTATATAGTCTTTTTTGTGTGTCTTTCTTCATTCGTTTGTGAGATTCATTCATGTTGATATTTGTAACAGTACTTTGTTCCTTTTACTCCTGAGTTGTAGTCCATTGAACAGACCCTAATTTATCCATTCTCCTCTTGTTGGATGTTTGGGTTCCCAGTTTTTGGCTGCGGTGAACACAGCTGCTCTCCATGTACATATAACAAGTCTTTTTATTGACACGTTTGCATTATTTGGGGTAACTAAGAATGAAATTGCTGGGTCATAGGGTGCTATGTTTACCTTTATATGAAACAGCCCAACAGTTTTCCAGAGTGACTGTACCATTTACTACTGCCAACCATGTACAAGGCTTCCTTGTTGTGGGATTCCAGAGCCCTGGGGGGTGGGAAGAGGGAAGGGAACATGTAGGTGCCTCCAGACTAAAAGCCACCCATCCTGAGACAGGTGGCCTCTTTCTATTCCTATTTCCTGTCCCTCTCCCCTCCCCCACACCCTCTTCCCCCAGTCCCTGGGCAATACCCCCACCCCAAACCAGCAGCATTATCACCTCTAGGGGGCCCCTCCTTTCTCACCTCGCCTCCTACAGCTGGTGCAGGGAGATGTCACTACGCAGGCCAGTAAGTGGGGGGAGGGGCTTTGTGCCGACTGCTCTCCCCTTACCACCTCCCCTTCCACCTTCTGGTTTCACAGACAAGTATTTGGGGGAGGGGCCGTTCCTGGCCCAGTTTCTGGCGCAGCCCTCCAAGGCCAGGAGAGGGCAGCCCCAGCCTCATTTTCCACCGCACCCAGACCAGTGCTGGGAGTACGCACGCACGCGTACTTGGGAATCACAGAGTGCAGATAGGTCCCTGGTGACCAGAGGGGCGGGTGCTATGCTAACAGCCATGGAGAGCACAGGAATGAGCGTGAACCCAAGTAGTCCTGATGGGGCAGCTGTGGGACCAGGGACTGGCAGGCTGAGCTTCTCTATCTCCACCCCTCTGGGGCCATCCATTCACTGAGGGCGCAGCGGCAACTGGTGCCAGAGTGCCCACTGTCGTCCAACTGGGAGATGCCCTAGGACAGTCAAATGCAGTTTAGGTTTAGCCCTGAGATTGCACAGCAGGTGCAGGGTTCCCAGTGCTGGCGGGTTTCCTGGTATATCAAGACTTGCTAGACTTGACGACGGTGAGGGGGGCTGTGACCAGGATCCTGTGGGTTGGGGCACAGGCCAGAACTTCATGTTCAGTCCCCACACACCAGACACTGCGAGTGCCAGCAATGCCACCCACCTCAGCCCGAGGAGGCCCCTCGTCCATCTGCGTTTATGTCCCTGTGTCTGTGTGGGTCACAAACCGTGCTGGCGCATGAGAAAGAGACGTGCAAGCTACGGACTTTTCAGCTTTTATTACAAAAAGAAGAGCATGATCCCAGCCCAGCTTTCCAACAAAAGTCACCAATTTAAAGTCTGACTTGGTCAGGGCCTCTCTGGCTGGGGAGTAGGCTAGCAGACAGGTGCAGGGCCCCACTCAGACCACCCACCACTTCACCCTCCCCTGCCCTGGGCCGGACACCCGACATATGTAGAAGCAGCTCTCACAGCTGCTCACTGGGCCTCGTTGAAGCGGGTCACCATTGTCTTGTGCAGTGTCTCCTTGTAGGACTCGGTTGAGGTGACCCCGTAGGAGCTGCCTCGGGCCCCCAAGCCGGAACCCCGCACCCGTGTCTGGGCCTATGTGAGGGAGGTAGGCCGTCAGGTGAGCGGTGGGATGGGGGTGCAGCAGAGAATGCTGGAAGACGGGGATGGGATCACAGAAGACTCACCTCAATGGGCGTCACGATGCCCTGCTTCTTCCGGCCCAGGCCACTACCTTCTTTCCAGCCCATGGCCTGGAGCATTCGACTGCCAATGTTGTCGCTGCCCAGCCCATCCCGTGTGGGCTGCTCAAAGTCCCTGCGGGGCCAGTGGTACAGTGTGAGTGACCAGCCTGCCGGCCCCGGATCCGCACTTCGGCTCTGGGCACTTACACAGAAGCTGCAGACATGCCGCCGTACTTCCTCCGCTTGGGCTCCGGTGGCTCAGGGATGCCGTACTTCTCTCTGCGTTCAGCTGCACGGTCCCGGTACTTCATTTGCTGAAAACGTGTGTGCGTGTGCGTGTGCATGTGTGTGAGGACGGGGGAACCGGTGGCTACTCGCAGGAAACATTAGGGGCCCCATGGGAGCTGGATCTGGCTAACAGGTCTGAGGTCCCGTGGGCAGGACATCGTGGGTACGAGCAGCCAGCACGGGGGGAGTCGGGAAGAAGCCTCGCAGGGACAGGAGGTGAGACGGCTGATGGCAGCCAGGCAATATCCAGCTCAGGGACTTGAGCGCCAGCTGCCTGAGGGGACAGGCACTTGGCAAGGGACAGAGGGGATGGAGCCCAGGAATGGGTCACACCTCACCTCCATGTCGTTCTTCTCCAGTGCTTCCAGCTCATTTTCCGACAGGTGCGCTCGTCGGTGAATCTCAAGGTTTTGCTGCAAGGGGACAGGCAGGAGGAGGTGTGAAGGGGCCGGGCAGGGCCGGGCTGGGCCAAGCAGAGCCGAGGTTCCCTGCCAATCCTCCCTCAGCCACCTTGTGTAGCCCAGAGAGCTGCTGGTGGCGGATGAGCGCCTCCTTGCTGGGGAACTGGCGCCGGCAGAGCAGACAGGCCAGCTTCTGCCAGTCAGTGAGCTTCTCCTCCCGTTCCGGACCCCCGCGCTCCTGCTCCTCCTCGCTGTCACTCTCCCCGCTGTAGGCTGCCACGAGGCCCCGAGGTGGGCTCTGGAGAACATGAGCGTAGGGGTGGGAGGTCAGGCCTGGCCAGATCGCCCCACCCCCACCCCTCTTCCTGCTCCGACCACTCACTGGGCGGTCATCGCTGGCCAGTTTCGGGAGGTCCATGCTGGTGTGCTGTCTTTCAGCTAGTGCTCCCTGGGGAAGACGGACACACAGATTCAGGGACTCCACAGAGGGACCGTTGAAATGACAAGACTTGGGGCGGGGAGTGGGTAGTGGAGGGGCGGCCACAACACACCTTCTTCTCGAGGATGGCATAGCCAGCATCTGCGGTAGCTGATTCCCGCCTTTCATCGTCTCGCAGGGAGCTGATGGGCTGGAAGCTGTTTTTGAAGTTTTCTTTTTGCTTGTTGAGGCTGCGGGCCCAGCGTTCCATGTCCTTGGCAATCTAGGGGGAAGGGTGGGGGTGAGGCTCTCGGGGCCCCTCCGACTGCTGTAACCGCCAACTCCGTCCACTGCCCCTTCCCACCCCGCAGCCTCAAGCAAGAGGTGAGGAGACGGCCGTGACGGTCCCCCCTTGTTGTCATTCTATCACCGGTGGCCCCCATCAAGCCCTCTTGGGCCGTGTCCCCCATTCTCCTGACAGGCACGCACACGATTCCGCTCTCTGTGGGCTTTCATATCGTCTTACCATTCCACACTGCACAAAATGGCTTTCTCCGGGTAGGATTTTAACACACACCCGTGATACTCTGCCACACTCCACATTCTGCTCCCCCCACCCCAGGCACAACATGACTTTTAGCATTTACCAGGTAGTCAAGGGAACACTTGGTTCTTACTCAGCACTTGGTTCGGCACTGAGCGCTACACCCAGACTGTCACACTCTTCTTCCCCAGGCAGACGCTGACGTTCCCTCCAACTGCCCACGCCCACCAAACGCTGCTGTGGCCGCTTTCTCACCCGCACCCTGAGGGGCCCATGAGAAGTTCTCTGGGACGGACAACCGGACACATACTCACGAGTGGGGTTCTGGGCCCAAAGGAGGTCTGCCTGCCCGTTCGTTTCCACAGGCAGGGTTAGCCTGGCTTCAGGCATGCAGGCAACCTGAGGGTTTCCCACTGGGGGACAGGAAGGCTGACTGGGCTCGCTTGGATGGATGGCACTGGCCACGCAGGGAGGTGGGTGGCCCTACCACATACTGAGGAGACTGCCCCAGCTTGAGGTCAGTCACGCATCAAAGAGCAGAACTGGGCCAGGAGCCTGGTCTCTCTTAAGCACAATCACTGCCACCACGCACACATCTGCCCTCCGCCCTTGGTAGTGGAAGGTTAAAGAGGATAGAAGCACGTTCTTCATCGGAAGACATCACACAGCCAGCCAGTGACTGCTGAACCCCCAGTGTTCACCTGTTGGGCTGTCTTGGTCTTGTGCTTCTCCTTCTTTTCTTTACCCTCTTTCGAGGGGGCCCCCGTCTCCTTATGCCCGTCGGCTGACTGTTCCAGCGCAGGGACGTAGGTCCGTCTCTCCCCGTCCCAGTACAGATACTGCTGGCTCTGAGCGTTGTAATAATACTGAGGGAGGGGCAATGCAAAGGCATGAGGGAAGACCTTAAGGAGAACTACAGACCCCACCCACTCCCTGGGCCACCCTATCACCTGGGAGTTGGGGTCATAGTAGAGTCCAGTCTGGGGGTCATAGTAGTAGCCAGAGGTCTCGTCGTACTGGTAAGTAGACACGTCCGGAACAGCTGGGGGAGGGGAGGGGAGAAGGGGCGTCACGCTCTTCTGTGCTTTGCTAAGGAACTCCCCCTGCCCTCCCACCCACGGGCCGTGGCTACTCACGGTACTGGTTGTAGGACTCCTGGGCAGTGGGGCTGGTGGCTGGTGGCAGGGCAGAGCTGGGATGGGTAGGGCTCTGGAGCTCAGATTTGAGCACAGCGGGTGACATGATGGTGTATGACTGGTCACGGGGCCAGACAGGGGAACAGGGCTCAGTGTCTGCCAGCGCCCACCCCCCCAGGAACCCTGCCTGTCCCCCAGCACCCCCTGGGCTCTCTCACCTGGCTGTTGGCAGCGGTGCCCTGGCTGCCGCTCGCCTCAGCTGATTGCTGGTAGATGCCAGGTGCGGCACCAGGCTGGGCACGGGAGAAAGCCTGCAGTGACACAGAGTCTGTCCCAGGCTCCAGGGAGGCCTCAGGACCTGTAAAGAGGGCCAGGGAGGGAGGGAGGGGGGGAGAATACCTGTTAGTGGTGGGGCCCAGGACCCCATGCCCGTTGACCCCCACCACGGGCTCAGGGAGAGATGCTGGGGCTCACCTGCTCCAGCTGGGTCCCCTTTGGTTCCAGTGATGCCGGGGCCCTTGGTGCCCTTGAGGTAGCCATGGGCATAGAGGGAGGACTCTGTGCCCTGGCTGCCGCCATAGCCCTCATCCTGTTGGTAGTAGCTGTAGTCGACCGGTGGCTCCTCGGGGGTGGCCCAGGCACCCTCCCCACCCTGGGAGGCCTGAGGGGCAGTGGGAGGGGCTCATTAGCAGAGGAAGGGGCGCAGGGGGAGGGGAACCTGCTAAGAAGCATCTGCCCACAGGTGAGGCTTGTGCCGGTCTGCCGACAGAAAGCATGCAGGCCTCAGACAAGTGAAGTGTGAGGGCCACCCGGCCACAGCAGGGCAGGACAGCGGCAAAAACAAGAAAGGAACGAAGACTTGTGCCAAAGTGCTCCCACGGCTGACACTGGTATGTGTGTGGCGTGGTTCGTGTGCTGGGTATCAGATCAAGGAAGACATCGTCCTCCCCTTCTTTACTCTCCTCTCCCAAATTTTCTTTCAGCCACTTATAAACTCCGTTTCATTAAAGAAGTTGAAACAATTCAGGACGATAAAATAACCACCAAACAGAAGCGAAAAGTAGCTGTGATGGTGTTGAAGTTGAAAGCCTGGGAGGAGGTGACTGGGGAGGGAGCTGCAGCGAGGCGCCCAAAGCCCACGGCAGCCACTGTGACAGGGTCTGAGGTCCACGGAAAGCCAAAACAGCAAGCCAGCCCTCCAGGCTGTGCAGAGAGGGCACGGAAGGGTCGAGGTGGCCCCGGTATGGGGATGCTGGGGCAGAGGGGAGTCTCTGAGTACCTGTGAGATGGCCCACTGGGCCGCAGCAATGGCAGTGCTGGCCACAGAGGCAGCATTGATGCGGCTGCCTTCATTGGAGGCCATGTCCCTGGAGAGGATGTCAGAGACTGGGAGTGAGACGCGAGGCCCCAGCCCAGGGGGCCAGCTAGGAAAGGACACAGGTGGAACCCTGACCTCTTAGAACCCTTGGCGAACTCAACGTTGATGGTCTTGCCGTCGATGGTGAGCGGTGGGTGCAGGGCCTGTAGGATCTGCAGTAGCTGGGCTGCTTCCTGGGGGGAGGAGGGGGTAGGCGGAGGCAGAAGGGTCAGGCCCGGGGAGGTCCCCGGCTCCACTGCCCCATTTCCAGACTTGGAGCCGCGGCGGGGGGGGGGGGG